ACAAAGTTTCATCCGATAGTTCTTTTTTCCTTTTTCTTTTCATTTTATTTACAGGGGATAATAGTTGACAGGTTTTAATGCTCTTATACAACTTGTATATATATATGATATATTAGATAAGTTATAAGAGCATCTTGTTCTAGAATTTCTTTCGATCGAAAGTTTGAGACAAACACGCACAGCTGCGTCCAAAGATTTTTCTTTCATTCTCTCTCTCCTTTACTTTATTTTTTCTACGTTGTTTCTCGCGATTGCACACACCAAAAAAAAGAAAGAAAGAAAAAAACAAATGGAGATGTGGCAGGATTTATCGTTTATAATATTATTCATTTGTTGTTATATCTCTTTTTGAATTTTGTATAACATATATATATATTGCACGTATTTTTTTTATATTGTATACGTTTTTGAAATTATTATTTTAAGTTCTTTTTCTTTTATCCATTTCGTTTTTTGTTTTTTTTTCTCTCTTTTTATTTTTTTTTTTGTATCAAAAATAGATTAATTGTAAGAGAAAATGTGATGACGATTTCGATTCTTCATAGATCGTTCTATTATTTTTTTTTTATTGTTGTTATATTATATATACACGGATTTTTTTAACGAAACTCGATGAAATTTGTTCTTCCTTTTCGATAAAGAAATTTCCAATCTTTTTTATTCTTGTTGTTTCTTCTTTATTTTTTTGTTTAATTAAATGAATAATACAGTAATTGCATAAGGATCAAATAAAAATTTGGTAAATTACTTTCGGTTCTTGAACGAATTGACAAAATTTGTTAAAAAAAAAAAAAAGAAATTTAGAAGAAGAAAAAATAGTTATAGTCGAAATAAAAATTAGTCTCTCTATAATATTTCAAATATTTTTTTGTTCGAAAAATGTATATTTTACTTCATCGGAAGTCGGATTCGTTCGTAGATTCTTCTCTCTTTCTTTCTTTCTTTTTTTTTTATATAAATCGATATTCATATAGTGAAAAATCGTGATTCCCAACACTACCTAAACGTTTATCGAATTTGCCAATTGGAAATTGGTTGAGACGCGGATATGCATTTTCTCTTTCATAGCCGGCACGTTAAATTTTCTCTTTGTTAGAAAGCGTGGAAAACGATTTATCATCGAGTTTCGTTACAGTCGCGTACAATACATATGCACATCACATGTATATATGTGCATACAATCCAAATTTTATATAACACAATGACGATGATAATAATATTTATCGTGATAATATTATATTTCTTTGCTGTGACACGCATGAAAACAATATTTCAAATCTGACCGATCGATAATAATATAAATGCTCGTTCGAAAAGAAATAAAATAAAATGAAAATAATAATAATAATAATAATAATTATCAAAACACAAGAGAAGAAATTATATATAAAACATTGCCGATATTTTTCTTCTCACAGCGATTTTTTTCTTCTGCCTATTTATTTTTATTTCTCTTCTCATGGGGGAGGAAGAAAAAAATTTTCCTCCTACGCATTGTATTGGTTTTTCTTATTAGTTTTTTTATTATTATTATTAATTATCATCATCTCGCGCAATAAGAGACGAAGAAGCGTGTACGCGTGTAGTACGTGTATGATGTGCATGCGTGTGTGTGTGTGTATGTGATGGGGGAGGGGGGGGAGGAGATGTATTTCGTGTTTTTTTAAAATTTACTTTAGATTTTGTTTACGTTTAAACACTATCCACGTTCTTTTTTTACATTAATAATTTCTATACATCATTTTTATCTCTAACGATTACATCGAAACGACGTATTCCTTGTTATCATCGTATTTCGTAGTACACACACTACTTACTTACTTTTTTTTTTTTCTCTCTTTTCTATGTTTTCAATTATTATTATTATAATAATTATTATTATTACTACACTTTTAAATTTTCGTTTCTACGTTTAAATTGAATAATTTAATACTGACTAATAATGTGATCACACTAACGAAGGAAATGTTTTTTCTTTTATTTCTCGTTTTATCTGCTTATTTTTCTTTTTAGAACATTCTTAAAAAGAGAAAAAAAAAAAATGGAAAAATACAAGCGACAAAATGTTAACTCGAAGAAGAAGTAGACGTACACGTATTAAATTTTAAAATTAAAAAAAAAGAAAAAAGGAAAATTAGGCGAAGAGT